GTACACTTTTTAGTTTTTATGCAACCTTGACAGCCTTATGGTACCGTAAAATAAAAACTGCTGAGGATACTTTTCATTATCTTCTAAATATATTTTTGTATTATTATTATTTTTCATTACCCATATTAATCAATGTATGACCTATAGTGGGAGTTCACCATGCTTTTGCTGCCAGAAATATTCCTGCAGTAAAATCTTTCTAATGACTTTTCTCTTCTGCAAGTTTCATTTATGACACCTACATGTCTGAAATAAAAGTCAAAAGTACAGACTTGTTTGAAGTATTTTTGCCTCACAGTATTTCTCTGTTTTTGTAAGGTAAAGGAGTGTAAATCTAATTTAATAGGCAGATCTATATTTTTCTTGTTTCTGCTAGTTGTGTTTCATGTATTATCCAAAACTGTCTCATATGAACAAAGAAGTTAAATTGTTCATCCCTGCCCCTGTACACAACTTACATCCCTACTGCCCCTCATCTTTACACTCATCTATTGCATTAATGAAACCGAGAGGTTGAGCAATGTCTTTAACTCAGTAGCAACTATTCTGAAAACTACCAATCAACATAAAGCTCATTGAGCAAAAGTAGAACCCTTAAAATAAACCTTATAGTGGGGACTTAATTTTAAAAAGAACTACATAAATAATTAAGTAAATCAAAGATTTTGCAAAAAATCTGGAGAAGAAGTTGGTATGATGGACAGGGGGAAATAATTGCAAAATAAAATGAATCAAATGAGTGTATAAAGGTGTCAGGCTCCATAATAAATCTATTATTCACCATTTAGATTAAAAGACTCAAACTTTCCGTTGTTTTGCATACTGTACATATTTTAGTAACCAGAATAGAAACTCTTTCGATCTCATGTATTTTAATGAAGTAAAAACAGAAGCATAGGATGTTCTTTTTTCCCTAAAATAAAGCTTTATCTATGTTCTATAATCTGTTGTAGTTTTTTTTTTTCTTAATCAATTTTTTATCGATGGTTATGTTATCTTTCTAGGATATATATATATATATATATATATATATATATATATATATATACCGGTACACATATATACATATATACATATATACAGGATCAAGCTCACTCAGTCCGTTTTGCAAGCATTCTTAGTGCATTATAAGGCCTGGTTTCTGCTTTTTTTTTTTTTTTATACAAACCAAAAAATTCCTTGGGGAGTGATAATGTTGCTACGTGGCCAGATCTATGGACGTAAGTGATGAAACTCAAGGCTTTTGACCAACAGGAAATAAAATGTTTCTAAAACGTCTCAGAGGTCATGAGATCTGAAACTCTGAAGGTGAAGTTAAGCTGCTGGGATCCAAAGCTTGTGAGTTTCTTTTTTTCTCCAAATCTCACCTTTATGGAAGAGTCGAAGAAGAAAACCACTGATGAAGAGAAGGAATAAAAAAATCCTGTTTAATATTTGACACAGCAAACAGGCGAAAAAAGTTTTTGGATAAGGAGACATCAAAAATCTCCCATCCTGAGTGTGCAGCCACCGCGGGGAAGTATGGTACCATCATAGTGCTGGGAATCTTTTCATCTTCAGGGAAATGATGACCAGAGCTGATGGAAAGATGGACAGAGCTGCAGTTTAGACCAAAAATTATTAGAAGACACCTTCCATTCTCATTCTCCATTCACCTTGAAGTTGATTGTTAAACAATGATTGGTCAGATACCAGTAGAGATATAAAAAATTTTTAAAAGCTATAATTCCAGGAAAGATTTTCAGTTGATTGTGAAGAAGGGGTATATTGTTTTAAAATGTGCTGTTTTGGTAAAATATAGTTAAAAGCAGATATGTTTAAAAACACTATACCCCTTTTTATATTGTCTTATAATTCCATGGAATATGCCTGTCATGTTTCCCAGCAGAGATAAACTTTATATTTCAGCAAAACTATATTGGAATAAAAACCTGCCAAGGATATTACTATTTAGGGACTTAACTGTAATTCTAACCTGTTATTCAGAAGAAGTGTAAACCCCCTGTTATGTTAATTTGTTTTAACAATAACAATAATTAAATAACCCTTAATAATATGTTATTTAACCTGTTAAGTTAAATAACTTACATAATACAGGCTCTTGAAAGTTATCAAGGCAATAGAAGGACTTCACCTACAGATAGGACTCCTTTTCTAAGAGATACAGTATTACTTTTGCTTTCCTTACTCTGAACGGTCTGGGTTTTTTTTTTTTTCTTCAAGTGATTACGTATAATGATTCTAAACATAAAGGTGGTTATAAAAACATCTGAAAATACAGTTGAGTAACCTTTTTTTTTCTTTACTTCAGTAAGTATGGGATTCAAAATGTTCCTCGGAAAGACTTTCCTATATCATCTGAAGAAAAAGTGAAATGAAAATATTTGAAAGGCTAAACGAGTGGGAAATATTTTTTTTTTTAAAGGGAGAAGAATCAGATATAAATGTTAACATAGGGTAAAGACTTTTATTTTAGAATTATTCTCAATTGAAGGCCTTATTTGTTATATTACCAATAATAAACAATGGCTTTTCTCTATGCTTTTGTTCTTATTTTTCATTGACATTTGATCATAAATAAATATACAAATAAATCATTAATTTAGTCTACTAAACATTAAAGAGAAATGTATGGAAGAGGATTAGGGCCACTGGGAATAAAAAAAAAAGTTAACTGATTTTTAAATTTTATTTCAGTTTAGTATGGGAAAAAATTAAGAATTCTGAGATTAAAGTCAGAATTCTGAGAATAAAGTTTGAATTCTGAGAAAAAAGTCAGAATTCTGAGAAAAAAGTCAGAATTCTGAGAATAAAGTCAGAAAATTCTGAAATTAAAGTCACAATTCTGAGAAAAAGGTCAGAATTTTGACTTTTTCCCATACTAAACGGAAATAAAATTTAAAAATCAGTTAACTTTTTTTTTTTTTTTACAGTGGCCCTAATCCTCTTCCGTACAAATGTAATTTTAAATATCTTATCTACTAAGGTTCTGGCTGTTTCATAAATTAACCAGATGATGGCGGTATTGCAAATATTTTTTTTCCCTCCAACCGCCATGAACAAGAAATAAGACGTCATATCCTGTAGACGCGGGTAGTTGGGAGGAAAGAAAAAAAGCCAAAACACAACATTTAGTAATGAACCGGAGCCTTAAACCTGAGCACAAATTAACATGTGTAGCATTCAGATTAGACGGTGAAGTCACCGCCAGGGTCGACGAAGCATCAGTAGCTAGCTAGCCGACCGGCCCTGTTGTCCACCATGAATTTAAGAGGACTCTTTCAGGACTTCAATCCCAGGTAACGTTAGCAGGGAGCTAGCTTCAGCTAGCTGTTAGCTTCGGCTCTTTTTACTTGGAAAACACCAATAACGTATGCATTGTAGTTATTTTAGGGCAAAACACTTTGTGTTGTGTTTATTTAGACATTTTTGGCACAAAAACTTGTGTGAAAAAAGTTGTCTAATTTACATTACAAGAGTCCGGCTTGGAAAGGCCCAGCTAGCATGCTAATGTAAACAACGTAAAACGTAGTTGTTACTCTGTGAGCAATTTGAACTATAACTCTCCCTTAACCTTAAAAAAAAAAATCGTTTTTACGTTAAATTGACATCTGTTTGTTTCGTTTACACAGTGATATAGATGCAGTGTTTGTAATGAGCTGAAGTGCGAAAAATTATAAAGTGATTTATGACGTGTTACATTCATTGATGCATGTAAAAGGTTGCGACTTGAACCCTTTAAATGCCTGATCAACGAAATGAGCATTAGCTCAGAAAAAATGCAGACTGGAGGTTGACAAGGCTGCCAAACAGTTACAGTAAGAAAAAATATTGGGTTCAAAAAAGTGTGTTCTTGCATGAATTTTATAAAAAAAAAAAAAATCATGGTTATTTTTTTTTTTTTTAGTTATAATTGTTACCCAGGCTTATTAATTGTTTTGTAATGGATCCTCTAAAGGTGTCTTAATGCAGAACATATTTTTACACCTTATCTGTTTCCGCCTTAAAAATATTAGAGTTCCGAATAGAAGATAAAGCAGATTTCCTATGTTTGAAAACTAGATTTAACCTGTTGAATTAAGCGGCTGCTCACATATTAAATCACTTGAGTTTTTTAATATTGATACTGGAAAATGTGAACTTACTGAATGGATTAGAAATTTTACTCATATTCAAATACAAACATCAGCAATAAGCGCTGACTATACCTTCTTTCTTGATGAAAAACAATGTATCTTTGACACTATTTTATTTTGATGAATTAGGGAAACTTTGTATGAAAATAAAATACTTCCGTTAAGAGACATATCGGCTCGTATTTCAGTCTTTGCTTTTCCAAAGGATTTATACTAAAAATTGGTTGAAGGTAGGCTGTAACAATTAATGGATTATTGAAATAATGGTCAACTAATGTAGTGATCAATTTATTGTGAACTGGAGCGTAGAGACAAAAATATGCCTTTAGCTGACAGAGACTCATCTTGAGCAGCAGTTATAACAAATTTATGCAGCAAAAGTAAGGAGTTTCACCTGGTTTAATTTCGTAAAAAGTTTTCTTTAAGGAAGCGTTTGCTATCTGATTATTAATCGCTTAATCATAAAAATTGTTGACAAATTAATCGATTTAGCAAAATAATTGTCAGTTGCAGCCCTATGATCAGCATTGATCTTTAACTCTTCAGAAGTTTTAAATGACAGCAATAACAACAATTGAGATACAAGCTTTTAGAAATGTTATGTTTCTCATGAAACATTTTCTGTATCGTCTGCTTAACTGAGATTGGGTCATGTCACTGAACTGGAACTTGCAGAAATGCAGTCTTGCTCAGCCATGTGGATCTCAGTGCTTTATTAAGCTCTATTGACATCCCACTTTCATAACACAAAGGCATTGCCAACCTCTGTTACAGATAACTTTGCCTTTTTAGAGGACTGAGATATGTCTCAACTTAATCAGACATTGTCGGGATGATGCAATGATTTTTAATGCCTTATGAACCAGTGAACCACTTTGACACAACTGGCCAAAATGTAACACATTGGCTAGGTACCAGGTTTGAAGAATGACATCTGCTGGATTGCTATACTAACTAGCTTAGAGCAGTTATCCTGACAAATGTCCACCTACATGTCTGAATTGGTTTGTTCTATAATAATGATAATAAATGCTTGGGTTGTGTCCATTTTAATTTGAGAAATGGCCCCAATGATGTATATGTAACAGCTATTGAAGCCGTTCTGAGGTATATGCAGACCTATTACCTCAAACTATAATCTTGTGCTTTTATAAAGAGGTTTTGGACAAAAAAAAAAAACACTGGAAAGGTTTGTGATTTTGCAAGTGCTGCATCTGACTTGCTGTCTTTCACAAAAATGGTAGACAACTTAAGTATTTGTCCTCTGTCTAATAAGAGTAACCACAATGTGTAACCCCTACAACTAAACAGACTACTTATATTGCATGAGAGACAGAGAAATACCCTGTGGTATCATCATCTTTACTGTGGGTTCTGGGTGTCCTATAAAGCCCCAGCATGTGGTGATTCCTAGAGTGGTTCAGGGTTTGAACCTCACGCCATGTAAGGGTTCTTATGACACAGTTTTTTGTTGGTGGGGGGGTGCATGGTCTGTGGTCGATGCATCTGTCACACCGGGGGACCACAGACCACCGATTCAAGCTCTAGTTGTTATAAATGGAAATCCTCAGTTTAAGATGGCTTAGATGTGACCTGATTTAAGATCTCACATGGAAAAAAGACACTTATTTAAAAATCAACTACTGTATAAAATTAGTTGATTTATTTAGTGCCAATTCACAATTCAGAATTGTCCGAAAGTTTTCCATCTTAGAAAACCTAAAAGATTGCTTTGAGTCATTGACTCACAGGATTCCCTCCTCCTGTAAGAGCATGTAGCTGCAGGGGAAGGTTGCTTGCATTGTGCCATTGAGTATCCAGCAATCCCTCATATTGACTGTGACAGTGGAGAGGAAACTCCCCATAGATAGGAGGAAAACCACATCTGTTCTTTAAAACTATTTTCACTCACACTAAAGTAAAATTTTAAGCAAAGTCTAGTTTGACATAAGTATGTTTAGTGGTTAAATGAAGAAAAGGCTCTGACAGTTTCAGGTTGGATTTTTTAGGGTTGTCTTGTTCAACACACTATCCAATAAAGGTGAAGGAGAATAGAACTCAGGAGTTTTATTCGAATGTATTGATATGAGCAATATCATAAATATAAAGAGCTATTTTAATTCAATATTTGTTTAAATATTAACTATTCCAGCCAGTTATTTAAGGGAGCAGCTGGATGGACCTCCATCACCTTTCAAGTTTTATAGCCACTTCGGAGTAATTAGCTCTCGATTTGAAATTTCCTTTTTTGTTAGTATAGTAATTCCTAAAAATTCAACCTGCCACATGTTCACAAAGCATGTCGAATATTGATAAAGTTTTACTTAATTTTATAATCCAAACAAAGTCCAGTTTTATGATAATGAGGCTTTCACTTTACATGTTTGCATTATTTAGGTTACCACTGCCTTTAAAAAAGCTGAACTATCAAGTCCTCCTCTTGTTTTAAGTCTTAACTTTATTTACCCTAAAGGGTAAAATCTGGATACCGTCAAAACCAGAAATTGCCGCCACCTTTTCTCTGTTATCTATTTAAAAAAGTGGCTGCTTTGAATCTTTTCTATGGAGAAATAGGCCTCTAAACTATATTTGTCCCTGGAAGGGAACTATTTATTCCTTTTTCTGAAATAGTACTAAGGAAATAGTCCTTAGTACCAAGCCAGGTGTATGTCTCTTTCTGTTTAGGAAGGCTTTTTTTTTTTTATGTCTGCATTCAGCCGGGGAATAAAACAATGTCCCTCTCTTCCTACCAAAACTGTTAGGCTTGAAATTAAAAAATCTCTTAAACCAGTTTTTTTTCTAAACACGGGTCATCTAGCTAACAATGAGCATTTGGCTTCCTTCCCATTAGCAAAAAAAAACAACCTGGATCTTATCCCCTGCTAATCCAAACCGAGGAATATTTCTGTCTTTAAAGGTACAAAAGCTCAGCTCACATCAGAACCAACAACACAGCCAAAGTGTTAAGAAAAAACTTGAGATGCTTTTTGTAAAAAGGAATCTCCTCACCTCTGATTGTGCATGTGGATGCAGGCTGTAGGGTTGGTCCATCAGTGACTTCCTATGAGCCATACTACTTCCAGTCAGGGCGGAAACACCTACTGTATATGTAAAAGGAGAGCTTTGTTTTTCCACCCTCAAGATTTCTCTGCCCGATATTTCCCTGGAAGCGATCACTGGAAACAAAACACTTTAAATAACAATTTCAAATTTATATGTATTAAATGATTCTAAAACATGATGGCATGTTTTATCAGAATTTAATCCTAGGTCGGGCGTACACTGCTTAATATTTTCAGTCTTTGTACTCGGCCACGGCTCAAACTGTTCGATGAAATCGCTGGGTTTAAATTTTCACAGCTCACAATTGATTGTTCTTACATTGTATGGCCCGACGTTCTGATGCGATTTATCTGCTCACACTGCACCTCCAAAAATCATATGTTTGACTCAGCGCTGAGAGATGGCAGCAGACTGAAGATGTTTTATCATTAAATCCCTTTTATCTCCTTTTTCCTGTTTTTCCTTTCCAGTTTTACTTACATTGCAGTGTCCATATAATCTATAAAACTCCCTGCATAATCTTAATAAAGCTACTTGTGTTCGTAAATCAAGCGGAACACTATGGTGATAGCTGTACTTCTCCAATTGTGAAATCAAAATCTGTTGGGCCCTTTATTGGCATCGAAACAATTATTCTTATTGCCACATTGCCAGACAGGACACTGATTAAGAAAAACGACGGCCGACTGAATTTCAATTATTTTTGGTTTTCTCCCGACCTTACGATTTCTGATTGGAAGGTGGTCGTGAGAGGCTCATCGCCCCTCCTTACCCCCTGTATACTACATGATGCATGGCGAATGTTGAGACGGAAACTCGGCCAAATCCAAAATTCGCATGACTGGAGAATCGTCCCGAAAAGGCTACAAAAAATCGTACAGTGTATGCCCGGCCTTACTCAGACCAGAGAAATTGCTCAGTTTGCAAGGGTAGCGCTTTTCATCATCAGGAAGAGAGCCCAAAATAACAGTTAAAAGAAGATCATTATTAGGGGTGGAACAATTCACAAAATCCACGGTTCGGTTCGATTCACGGTTTCTGGTCACGGTTTTCGGTTCGATTCGATACATGATAATTGTTACACCGAAATCCCACAAAAATTTATGAAATTAATGAAAAAATCCCCCCAAAAATAATGGATTGTAATTATTTTAAATGATCCGCAAAAACCCTGGATCATTTCCGTATGTTTTGCTGCTTTGAATTTAATCATCTGGCGCATGCTCTCTTACATCTCCAAGGAACTCAGAGGGGAGCAGACGAAGCCACAGCGGAGGCTGTAGGCTTTGCTTTAACCCCTTGAACCCTACGGACCCACCGGCGGGTCCAGCTGCTACA